TCTTCAAATGCCACTGTTTTTGAAAATTCTTTAATGATAAATTCATACCATCCAGGAACATTTTTGGTATTTTAGATCGTACCCCTCTATGGATGTCGCATACATGTATACAGTGGAGTGGCTGCCAAAGGTTATACATCACGAAAAGATTTACGCAAAAAATTCTAGCACCCTCAACATCAATTCAAAGCCCATAGTTTCTATGCTCGTTTTAAAGCTAATAACCTAGATAAGTATATGAAAAAATATTATTAATCCCATTTTGGGAGAATTGAGAGATTTACACAATTTTTTAATTGATGAAAGTTTGACATCAAATAGGTAAGTAGTTTTCATAGAGGAGAACATTTTTTTCTAGTCGGATTTCCTTGAAAAAAATATTTGATGTCAAAATTTCATCAATTAAAAAATCGTGTAGATCTCTCAATTCTCCCAAAATGGGATTAATAATATTCTTTCACATAGCTAGATCATTAGCTTTAAAAACAAGCATAGAAACAAACTATGGGATTTGAATTGATGCTGAGGGTGCTAGAATATTTTTGCGTAAAAATTTTCGTGATGCATAACTTTTGACAGCCACTGTATATCACAACTCCGCTTATCAAATTGTCATTCATCTGCTGTTTGAGTGTGAGGCTTTCTTTCCATCTAGCACCTATGAACCAATTATAAAGAAGTACTCCGTAAATTTCTTGATTAGATTTTTTATATCTGCTGCAATAAAAACATTATCAATAGTTACACTTGCATTGATATGGATAAAGTTACTGGTAAATTATTATAGACTATCACTATGGTTCCGACTCTGTGACTCTAAAGAGGGACCACTGTATAAAATATCAACTTATATCTGGATTAGATAGGAATCGATTCTCAAGTAGATCCTATTATTGTTTTTTATTACTAATAATCGAAATACCTAGTTCAGGAATTTGTGATTAATTAATTTTATTTATTGGTGTTAGCAAAAATCGATTTCGTTCAGATACAATCAAGTTTCCCACATCTGAAAATAAAAGTTCAGATGGCACTGATGTGGTAGGAATTGTCAAATACGTGCAAGTTGTGAAAGAGTTGGTATATGGATAGGAATTCATTCTTAACCCAAACTCGATTTTCGAGCACAAATTACGACGATAATGACGATGATGACAGCAGGCGATGACAATGACGAAAAAAATGTACGGGCACGTGATTTACGATGTACGGGCATGTGACCGGAGGTAGGAACACGTGATTTACGATACACGCGAGCGTACGAGCAAGTAACCGGTTATACAAGCAAGTACATGTAATTGCATAATTTCCGTTCTAACTATTATAATTCAAGGCCGAAGTCAAAGTCTTTAATATCTTTAGTATTGATCACAATGCCATAACAGGAAAAAGTATAAAAAACTTGACTTATACTACATAGAATAAAATAAAATAAAATAATAACCTTAAGATCAAATGCTAAAAATAATATAGAATGTACTAAAAGCCATCTTGTCCAAGCTATTGATTTTGACTTATACATAGAATAAAAATATAAAGAATAATAGATTTACCGAAGCTAAAATTTAACCTTTATTACCTCTAATGTAGAATAGTATAGAATAAAGTATAGCCAAAAGTCTTCTAGTCCGAGATATTAATCTTGCAACACACCCACTCTCTATATGTGTGTATGTGTGGTGTTGAATTTTTGATTTAAGAAATCGATACCTTCAAGATTCAAATTATCAAACAAAATACCTCAACACTTAATTTTATTGATCATTATTATAATATTAACTTGTCTGAAAATAACTTAAATATAAATAAACTTGAAACCAAGACATGTACCTGTTGTAAAACAATAAAGAACAAAATTGAATTCTGCTATTCTAAATTCAGTGATCCACAATATGAATACGCTACTTGCAATAATTGCTCTACAAGATTGAAAAACAAACATAAATCCAAAGATGTCAGAAGAAAAAAATTTGGAGATAACCAACAGTGAATTAAATCAAAACAATTCCCTTACTTTGTCTTGTAATATTACAAGTATGATTTTTCATACATTCAACTACTCGTCAAATTCTGAAGAACTTTTTGCATCAGATCAACATAACAATAATATCTAAAACAACTTAAGTGAAGACAATTCTGATGCAATTATATATGATCTAGATAAAGTACAACAGGCTATATCAATTGAATTTGCAAAAGCTGAAGAATCAAATGACCCTGTCAAGTTTATCTTTGAAATTGAACTAGATTCTGAGCTTTTCGAAATGGTTTCTCTGGATCAACAAATTGAGAATTTAGTAATAATTAAAAAGAAATTTGAAGAACTCACTGATATACTTACTATATTAATTGAAGTCGGTTCTAAATATTATTGAAAAATATGAAAATTATTATTAATAAAGAATATATAAGTTGTTGCACAATTTATCTTGATTATATAATGCAAAATGATCAAGCATGACAAAGACCAGCAAGTCAATCAGTTAGAAGAAGAAGCAATGTCTGTATTTCTATTCAAAGATATAATTGTGTAGGATGCATTAAAATTTTTATAGATCCAAAAGAAAAACATATTACTCTTCAAGTTTATTATCAAATATCCAATATATTTAAAAATTGAGTTTCTTGATGAAATGAAAGAATGGATCAAGAGCAATGTATTATCAAATTTGCGTAATACTAAAATATATCAAAGACTCTACAAAGAAATGCTTATTGTACCGGAAATACATATAAAAGAAACAAGTATATTATTGGCTCTCTATATATAAGAAGGAATTATATAATGAATAAAAAAATTAACTTCTATTAGTGAAAATGTTTCTTGAACAATCTAAACTTTAAAAAAAAGAATTTGAAATTCTTTGTTACCTGGAAAACAATTATGTTCCAGCCATGAAATTTCTTACTTTGATTAAGTCTATCAATCTCACGAATATAACTGAAATTGTCGTTGATTCAATGTTTAAGACCAATCAAGAATGATTCAAACCTTTTGTAGTAAATATGAATTGTGGGGAATATGGTATGCCAATAGCATACTTGTATTTTTTACTTGTGATAATTTCCAGATAATTCAAGAAATGAAATCAAAATGAGAGTTGAAATACTATAAATATTTTATTAGATTTTGACAAAAGGGATTGAAACTGATTTTTGTTCTTGTAAATAAGGATGTAGGAGAGATAGCAGTAATAAGCGAGACATAATCATGGATAACAAACATTTAGCTTTGTTACTAGTATCTTGAATATACCATTAAAAAAAATTGAAAGATAAAAAATTAAAGAAGGAAACTTATACAACAATCAAGGCTTTAAAGGCTCACCAAAAATTTGATTTTATCGATCCATCTTGGATTTCAAGAGCCAATACAAGTTTGATTTGCCTGGACAAATTAACAAAAGAACTTTTAAATATGGTTAAAAAGCATGCTAATATGTATTCTCTTATTTCATTTTCAAAGAATACTTTTTAACTCAACAAGAAATATATTATTACTGTACCAAAGAAATATATTAGTTCTATTATTTGTGAAATCTTGCATGATGGCAAAGTTATTTGTGGATTAATTGGTATAATTCAAAAGATTGGAGACTTTTTGCACGTAGTCTGACATGGAACAAAGATATCATATTGATATTGATAATTGAATTTGTTCATGTCCAGTATATTTAAACAGCTGATATCTTCTTTGCAAGCATTTCATTGCTAAAAAGAATGACAATCAAGCTTTACCCACTTTTCTAGAAACTGTACGATGATATGATTATCCTTTTTTTGCTTTCAGTAAAGAAAAATTATTAATTATTGATTCAAGAAACAATTCATGGATGAGTATAGTTAATATTGATTCAATCGAAGAAAACACCAGTTCAATAAATGCTCAAAATAATCCTGAAATCAAACAAGAATCTAAAGAGGAAAAATGAAAACAACTTGTAAAGCAAAAAACTTTTGAATGATGCGTTAGAATTATATGAACTAGAGTTAGATAATGATAATTTTTGTAGAAATCAATGCAAATACAGCCTTTTTTTCTTCACGCTCTCAAAAGCAATCTCGACAAACTTCATTAAATTCACATCCCATTTCTTTCTGACATCGAGCACAAATACTAAAGAATCCAACATAGTTTTAATGCATTGATTTTACCATTAAAAAGAGCAATTGACGAATGTCAGGAAGCACTGCAAGCTATAAATAGCAAGGTACTTGGGGAACGAAAAATGGAAGGCTTGCCTTTTGGCAATACAAGTTATTATTATTATAATAAACAAATTATTGCTTTATTGATAAATCTTCTGCCCAAATCAATCACATGTCCGTATATCTGTTTACTTGTCCGTACATCCGGTCACCTTCCGAACATCGTAAATCGCGTGCCCATACATTTTTCTTCGCCATGGCTAGGTTACTAGCGATGACATAACTGGTTTTTGGTTTTGTTTTTCATTGTATGTTGTTTTTCCCTTTTCGTTGCAATATTTGAAGTTGTACTATGATTAGTTGAAATTATACTTTAGTTAGTTGAATTCGTAGAGATACTACGTGGTAAAGATTATCATCAGATTGAGCTTCTGTATCCGTTTCATTACATTTATTTTCTGTTGTTTCATAAATTTGGATTAATATCAGTATCTGAGTTATTAAACTCAATGGTTTCTTGGTTATTAACATTTTTGTTGAATGACAGAGTAGTTGTAACATTTGCATGTGTACTAAGTAAAACATGATTTTCCAATTATTCACCTTCTCAAGTTTTTAATCGATTCTCAAATTTTAATTGATTTCCAAATAATCGATTCCTATCCCTAATCAGGATAGTCCGTCTTGTATGAATTTCTTTCACATTTGAACGGGGCACGAGAATAATGTGAATTTAAGCCAGCGTCGCAAGATAACTGAATAATTTTATTCTTTTTATGATTAAAAGGATAATATATTTTTAGCTACCATACAAGTCGATGCGTTCAGTGAAGTAGGACAAATTATTTGAATTAACATTGATTTCCGTTAGCTAGACTGTTTCTGAACTGCGCTTGATAATCTAGTAAGGTCTTTCTGTACTCTTGAAATTGGACGCAGATAACCTCATGAGAGAGAAGATCGTATTCTAGAACCGATCCGGATTCTTTGATGTCTGAGAGTTTCTTATTCAAGCGCATCATATTCTCCAACAATTCTTCCTGCTTTGCTTGTGCTTTTTTCAACATCATCACCGATGTCATCATGGCGATTGCACCGCCAGCAGCGGCTCCACTTCCTACTATTCCAGCCGTCCGCTAACCAAAAATGTTGCATGATTAGGCTAAATTGAGTGAATTGGGAACAACACACAGCTATTGCAAAAATATCGCTTACGCTTGCCGTATTCCAATTGCTCCAATTCCAGCTTGTGAAGGAACCGATGACTATGGAGGCACTGTGTGGAAAATTTTACACCTAATGCATAAATAAAAACAAGTAAAACATTTTTATTTACCTTGCAAATAGATATTGCGCAATCTCACGGTCTGACTCTTTCTCCTTCAATATTTTGATCCTCTCCTTGATTTCCTCTTTCGATTTGTCAATCTTATTAATAAGTTTTGTAGTTTCAACGACCAGGGTATCTAAAAGTTCTGTGATAGGTGTTTAATCCATAATTATTAAAACAACTAACAGTAGTGCGACGCCAGAAAATCTTTTTCTTCGCTTACCTTTATACTGACCAATACGTTTATTTTCCAGCTTGTCACAGATTTTAGTCAAAGTTGCTACCACATTTTTGATGAGCTTAAGATACTCTTGTTTGTCTGGTTTCGGTAAGTCTTCCATGCACTCTTTGTAAACATTGCACAGATCAACTACAGACCAAGACACCAATAACAGTGACAGCACGATTACGAGTATTTGCGGTGCCTAGATTCAAATGAGATTGATTTATCAGGAGGACGCATAACAAAGATCATTACACAATAATCATTATTACTTTGATCCCCAAATCGCTCTTTATATACTGGACGATTGAGTTGATCTGCCGTACCACCGATTGTTGCCACGTTTCTGGGCCCCTGATCGAGCCAAAAATCCTCACCACTTGCCCATTAGGTAATTGGATCTGACACCCGGCTTCCATTCGTAACAACACTTTGAATTTATCAAATAAGTGTTGAGACATTTCACCGACATTCTGTGCTAAACTCTTTATGATCTTGTTCAGCTCGCCAATGCCTAACGTTACGGCGTTGTTGTTCGGTGCTTGGACTAACAACTCCGGCTTTTTTTGCAGTCCGGCAATGTGTGCCACAATCTCACCGCCACATGCGAGACTCTATGACAAAAAAATATACAATTTTCAAGGAATCGTAAAAAGATAGAATTTGATAAACGGCAACATAATAACGAGATTTAATGTTGGCAAGCAAAGTTTAATAAAGTTATTGATTGAGAGAGCAAACTTACAAAAACAGCCTGCGCCAGAGACTCTCCTTTCTTGGCGTACACTAACTTGCGGCCAGACTGAATTACCACATTTATGAGTAAACGGAGCTTACTATCGACCAGCTTAAACGACCACTTATTGTTTTCTGATGACTGCTCCTTGTTCTCTGACGACCGCTCCTTGTTTTCTGACGACCGCTCCTTGTTTTCTGACTCCATTATCAGTGAAATAAATTGCTTTCACACGAAAAACCTCAAGCAAAGAGAAAAGCAAACAGAAATCAGTTAATGACGTTTTCAAATGGAATTGAATCGCTTGTTCGCATAATTATACATTATGCAAAAACTGTGCTACAAAAACTGAGAAGCCCAAAAGAAGATTAAACAATTGGGTCAGTTGATTTTTCACAAGCATTGCATTTTTTTATGCATGAGCACTAAATGCCTTTCTTATTCGCAGTTGAATCAAGCAAAGAAGGAATGGTATGGTCAAGAAAAGATCATTCGGTATGACAAGTAGTATCATGCTTACTTCAGAATCCTACGCAAACTTGTATTGTATGGATAACCAGATGAGTATGGTATGGGTGCTATGCTAAAAAGTATGAGATGGTTAGTATTGTATACACCAATTTTGCACTAGTACGTATACTAAATTCGAGCTACACTTGGTGGGAAAGAGTACAGTCAGAACAATGTACGTACATGTATAAAACTGTACCATCTACATACATGTACGTATACGGATGATGCTTAAAATCATTGTTTACGATATGTATTGTCAAAACCTGCGACGAAACCTTCTGATCAATCAAATAATAGCTTAAATCACATGCACAAATCCTATTCCGAATTTTATAAGAATGTTACGTCATTAGAAATCTAGTATATACATGTGTTTAAGACATGGACGATCAAAATTATGCAAAAAATAAACTGATAAATTGATAAAACTTGACTTGATCTATTGTTTTTGTGGTTTACGTAGTTTGTCATTCATCAGACGATTCTCATTCGCCACTTACATTTCCAAAGTGGTCATGGCGAAAGGTTTCGTGAAAATCAATAAAATTATTGATATTTAAATATGTGCATGTATATGTACAAAAGGGTCATCATCGTCAGGCACGACCTAGTATTTTATTGGTCAGAAGGTTTCGTCATTCGTCAGACATTTTCAAAAAAATGGTCGTGACGAAAGGTTTCGTCATTCATCAGACATTTTCAAAAAAATGGTCGTGACGAAAGGTTTCGTCAAATTGACGTGGCGAAAGGTTTCATCATCATCAAGTATCATTAGTCACCACCCAATTAGAACCACATATAATAATGTAACAAAAAAAGTTACGCACAAAAATTGTTCTTTAAAATTACACTTAAAATTATACATTGTACTTAAAATTACGCTATACGTAATTCTGCAGTAAATTAAACAATAAATTCTCTTGTAATAATGAATTTTAAAAATTTATAAAAAGATAAGTGCTAGAAGAACAATAAAAAGTGCAATTAAAGGTGTAATTAAAGCCTTCTAATATAATTGCTCAATTGTGTACTATAGTCTTTATAGAGCCACCTTTAATTCACCATTTAAAATTGCTTGTTTTAAAGAGGGTTTGCACTTTTGATCCAGAAAAAGTGATTGTCTTGTTATTAATTTGAATACGTTTTCATTAAAGGACAATATCGAGGAAATGCCTCGTGATTAGAAGATGGACAATAATATTAACGACGAACGAATACAGCATAATATCTGAAGATATTGGCACAAGGCCTTTAAAAATTAAATTAACATTAGTCTAACCCACTTTCACCAAAGTTACCGATTAATAGTCTAATCCCCCCAATTGACTAATACTAGAATTCTGCAAGTACTCATGCCAGGTACCATTGGTATCATGTCAGGTGTCCATCCAAGGCATATTTCAGACAATGATCAATGACATCTCTAATTATTATAATGAATATTTTTTCGATTTTATATAAATATTAATATTTATATAAAAAAACATTTTTCGATTTTATATAAATATTAATAATTATATATAAAAAATTTTTCAAATAAGATTTATCTTACTAAACTCATAATCACTTTCCTAATAAAAATTTGGCAATATATCCTGATGACTCTATTTCTAATATTTCACAAAACTATAATATAACAGAAATAATAAGAGAATATTAAATGAAAATATTGCATAATAATTAAAATAGTAATATTGTCAGACTAAAACATATTCAATTAATATCAGTAAAATACGTCTGAAAAAACATACTATATAAGATTTCTCATCCAATAATAATATTATGACATCTTTCTGAAAATATATTTAATATGAGATATGAGTTTATTAAAGATATTTTGGCACAGATATCAGGATAAATTTTATTGATATGTAATAAATGGTACTTATCTATTCATATATATCACTTTATTATTACAAAATTATAAATAAAGAATGTTTAAAGAATGATTAATATTATTTTAGGTTTTCAAAAATCAAATAAAATAACAGAAATATAAAATTTATAATAATTAGCATATTAGAAAGTTATTCTATTAAAATAAAGTATTATACTTACTATAAATATGATCTGGTACAAAAAGATTCATACCTCAAATAATCATTAATAAATTATTTTTTTAAAATAAAATTTTAATTCTATTTCATTTAATTAAGTCATTAATATTAGAATACTTTCTTATGTGAAAAATATTAAGATAAATTTATTAATTGTTATAAATAAATTATATAATTAAGATAGTTTTCTGTTTTAATTTTAATAAACTTATTCTTTATTTATTAAATAATGAAAAAATCTAAATAGCTATACAAAACTAAGATATTTAAATATATAATTAATATTTAATAAATTATAAATAAATTAATAATAAATAAAAAGTAATTAGTTCTAAATTATTAAACTTAAAGCTATTATTATAGTGATTCTGAATAGTGAGTTTCATTATAATTATGCAAAATTATAATAACAACAAAATATTTGGAGAACTAGCTTCAAATTTTCTTTTATTGTCGGATTTATTAATCAAATTATCAATAATACAAAAAAGAAAATGAACAAATACTAATACGTAAAATGAAATTTTTAATAATATTCAAAATATCAATATTATAACCAATAATAATAACTATTTTATGATTAATATTTTTAAAGATCTTTTTGAAAAACTTTGTGACAATATTAAAAAATATTATAGAAATAGATATTTATATTAATAAAACTCATTATTATAAATAACAGATTAAAAAAGTATTAATTGTCAATATAAAAAAAATGATTTATTACTTAGTTAACTTTAAAAAATATTGATTTTTTAGAAAATTTCACTAAAGCTGAATTCTATAAACTTATAAAACAAAACAAATTATATATTTTCTTTATATATATTGAAATAACTAAAAAGTATAGACATAATTTATTATACATCTCTATATTATTGTACATATTTGTTTTATAACTTTTTCAAAACTCGAAAAAAATATATAATATATTTAATATAATAAATATAAATTTTCAAATTAAAAACTATCTTTAATATTTCTTAATTTTAATAAGATAAAGTTATTTTTTATATTAAGTCCTAAATGACAAAGTTTTTGATTATTATTACTTAATTTTTAATTTAATTTAAAAAAATTATTTTTTTGTTTTAATTTCTTTATATATTAAGTTATAAGCTTTAATTAATATATTAAATATTAAATTTTAACATGTTTTTATATTTAATATAATAATATTATTTAATATAAAAATAGCTTTGAATTATATACTAAATTTTTTCTTTATTATAATAAAGCACTTATTTTTAAAAAAAATATAAAGCTAAAAATAATATAATAAAGAATTTATCTTTTTTATAATATTTAAATCATTAATACTTTATAAAAATTTTCTTAATATTTTCATTAGAATGTGATCTTTTAAGTTTGATAAAATCTAAAAATAAATTTTTTAATTCTCATTTGGAATAATTCCTAAAAAATATTGCATTTGGTAATATTCAAGTATCTATTATAAAAGAAATTTCCAGAAACATTTTATAAGATTAAAATAATAATTAATAAATTAAAATTATTCAAGAAATTTAAAAATTCAGAAAATACTGATAAATTTTCTTTTAATTATTATTAAAATATTTATAGTTTCATTTTTGATAGTCTTATTTAATGGAATTGAAACTTCATTATGTAAATAATGAATTATATTATAAAAGAAAAATTTCTTCATTGTTCAGCTAAAAATATAAGAATTCAAATATAAACATTAAAATTAAATTAAAAATATATGATTATTTTATAATTCAAACAAACTTACCATATTTTGAATAGATTTTTTTTGTTTTTCACTCTCTACATTTAGTTTGTGTTTAAATTTAAGATGATTACATACAAAAGGTACTATATGTATTAGCAAAAATAAAAGTTTTGCTATAATTGCACTTTGATTTTTTTGTAATTTTAAAGTATAGTATTTTCAAATCCAACTATGATATTTTTATATTTCCTGCATTTTCCTCATCTTCCTGTAATTGGTTGTCGTAGTTCTCTTAAAAAATTTCATTATTGCTTATTATATGAAAAATCAAAAGTTTGAAAACATTAAAATACGAATAAAACGATTAAAAGACAAACAAGGATTAATTAATCAACATTTCGGTAAACCGTCGGTAATTATCGAAATTTACCGAACTGATAGGTTTACTGATCGATCGGTAAGTTTTTTACCGAATCGTTCGGAGCCCTAGATTTCAATTGCTTCTTGAAATTCATATTGAAATAAAAGATGAAGTGGTGTGGAGAATGGAGATACAGTATCATAGAATACTTGGCTTTAAAATTCATCTTTACTTTCGACCAGTGATGGTAAATGACCTTGAAATGACCCAAAATGACCTCAATTTTATTATAAATTTTAGCCGGAAATGACCTCAAAATTTACCATCACTGCTTTCGACTATAGAAGCTTGTTCTAATTTTTTGTTGCTTTTTAGGTTCTTCACTTTTGACTACAGAAGCTTGTGTTAAATTGTTTAATTTATTTTTTTTAGAGCAGCTTTTGGATGATTTGTCATTATTTACATCTAATAGTTCTGAAATATCAGAGATATGATGGTCTTTTTATTTTTTTTTTGAGACGAGTATTATGCTATGCTTTTTGTAAACATTTTGAAATATAAAAAAAATTTCTTGAAAAGTGTCGCAAAGGGTTTGTGTTTGATCAAAGGTTTAAAAAAATCTTGAGCAATAATTCCAGGAGGTTTTTTCTTAATTAAAAAATCCTGAACGAGGGCTTTTTTTAAATAACTAAAAGATTCTGAACAAGGAGATTTTTTTAATTAAAGAAAATTTCGGAAAGATTTTTTTATCAATGGCTTATATATTAGATACGTGTGAGATTTACTGAATTAATCATTATGATGTAAAGTACACGACAAATGTAATCATCGAATAATCTAATTTGTTAAGACTGATACAAACTTTAATTACTTCACATTCACCTTGATCGGTCCCGGCCCATGATGACCCTCAGCCCGCCCGACCGATGGGCCGGATTGGCCCGTATTACTATTTTGAAGTATTTACGTATTTACACCATACTCATCCAAATAGAAGTTGAATACCTATTTGCAGCTTGTGTGTGTAGTTTGCCGTTTAACACCTCTGGATTGATATAAGGAAATACTTCGTAAATTTTTTATCTGTTAGGCCGGTAATCCTAAAGTCAGCAATGAAGCATCCATACTTAATAATATATTTCCAATATGAAAGTCACAATGCACAAGTTCCTTATGAATTTTACACAGTTCTCACTCTCTGATAATATAAACTAAATGACTTGATTTTTCTCTCCAAGTGAATTACTCGTAATTGGAAGTACATGTAATGTATTTGTGTAAATAGCCATGTTTGTACTCATTACGTGCTATCAATTTTTCATTCGTACTGTGTTTTTAGTTATTCTTTAATAACCTATTCCAAAGTAAGATCACTGAACTAGGGATAAGAATCGATTCTCAACCCAGAATTGATTTCAAAATTGATTGGTTATTTAAATAATTCGATTAATTGATTTTAATTTAAGGAATCGATTCTCAACCCAAAATTGATTCTCGAGCACAAATTACGTCGAAAACATAACTAGTCTTTGGTTTTATTTTACATTGCGTGTCGATTTTTTTCCCTCGTTGAAATAGTTGAAATTGTATTTTGATTAGTTAAAATTTACTTTAATTAGTTGAATTTGTAGAGATACAACTGGTAAAAACAGTATAGAGATAATTGAAGTATTGTCATCAGATTGAATTCTTATCCGTTTCATTACATGTATTTCTGTTGTTTCAAGTTTGGATCAATATCTGTTACGTTTGGCATTAGTGTCACTATCAGAGTCATTAGCAATAGTTTCTTGGTTATATCAATATTAACATTTTGTTGAATGACAGAGTAGTTTGTCGTGCGTTGTAACATTTACAATGTATTTCACAAGTGAAATCCATCGGTCGGTTTCAAAATTCTAATTGATTCTACAAAATTAATCGATTCTAAATTAATCGATACTAGAGAATCGATTCCCATCCCTACACTGAACTTCAGAGTAGTCCGAATCTATTTTTGAAAAGCTAAAGTATATTGGAAAATAAAAAATTAATTGTTCATTTTTACTCTTTTATAATTGGCTTTGATTCACATAATTTTAACACAACTTCACGTTTATATTCATCAACTCATTTAAATATATTCTCTCCGTGATCCCACTCGTGTATGCTTTATCAAATGTCCCTTTGCAAGATATTCAAACATTAGCGGTAGTAAATCTTTTACAAAGAATCCATTCGAAATATGGATATTCAAATTTCCGCGTATTCCTTTATTAGGCTGTCGATATTTTATTTTCGTTCGACAATTCAGCTTTTTAATTAATTGTGATAATTTACTACAATAATTTTAGTGTTTAATTTAAAAATCTGAAATAACGGTAAATAAACATTCTACAATGTGCTAGTTCATGTACAGAGGGGTGGGACGATCGTTAAAAGCTTTAGTATGTCGCAGTAATATAGCAATATAATAACAACATTAAGATTGAACCTACATGCTTTTGTCTGCTAACAAAAGATGTTCGTTTTTGTTCAATTTACTATTTAAATACAATAAAACTCGAAAATTCAAATTGTATATACAAATGGGTCGCAACAAAGATCTTACTAACGGAGAATGCCACACTGTCGAAATACTCGAGAAATAAGGCATGTCTGCTGCAAAAATTGCACGCGTCCTTGAACGATCAGTACTAGTGTCAAAAACTGTATTAAACGAATAAACTTGACCCAAAATTGTGGTTATTTGAAAAGAAAGAATAGTGGCCGAAAATTAATTGTTGATGATCGTTCTGAACGTTTAATTCTTCGAAAAATTAAAGCAAATCCAATGATGAGGAGAATGCCAAAACGCCTGCTTGCCACTAAAATCTCATCTAATAACGTATCTCCACGTTCCATGATAAGAAGTTTAAAGAAAAATGGTATCAAATCCCATATTGCACGTAAAAAACCATGGATTAATGAAACAAATCGAATTAAACGGTTAAACTGGGCTAAAATTCACAAAAATTGGACCAAAGAAGATTGGTGAC